GTTTCGGAAAAGGGAGGGGGAGGATGAGGAGGGGAGGAGGAGCAGAACTAGCTATGTAGGAATCGGGGGTGGATGAGACGGACGTGGGCGCAGGAGTAAATCGGAGGAGTAAGGGGCACATGGAGGATGCCTGCTATTCTTTTCCCGAGTCCAGGCGTTGGCCGAGCGCGCAGCTGCCCGGGGCGGCTGCGGCGGAGGTCTACCAGGCCCGCCAGCGCGCATTTCTTATGCCTCTTCCCACTTCGCTGCCGCCATCGACCCACTCCCTCCGCCCTGGCCCTCCGCTCCGCGCCTCCCTTCTCCTCCTTCGCGCTCTGCGTCGCCAGTCCTGCATCCCCCGTCTTCTTCTGCCTCCATCAAGTTTTCTACTGCTTGCGCCTAGTCCCTCCGCTGCTCTCCCCGCGCCTCTCAGGCGACGCGGCGAAGGGGGGGGGGGGCGGCGCAGGTGGTGAGGAGGAGGGTGGGGAGCGGGAACAAGAGGAGGATAAGGGCGCGCAGGAGGATGATGGGGGGGGTGACGAGGGGTGGGAGGAGGAGGGGCGCGTCGCTAATTGAGGGGGCCAAGATAAAGTCTGAACTGTCGACTCTGCGTTGAAGGGTTCTTACTCGGTGCGCTTAAAGGGCCGGGCAATGGAACGCGCCCTGGGCGGCCCCCCCAGTATCCGCCCCGCGGTTCCACCAGCTACGCCCACGTAGCTTAGCGTTGCTTATCTCATCTTAGCTTAGCTTATTTCATCTTAGCTTAGCTTAGCTTAGCTTCGCTCAGGCTTATCTTAGCTAGCTTATCTTCATCTTAGCTTCGCTGAGCTTTAGCATAGCGGAGCACAGTCCCTACCTAGGCTCTGCCTAGAGGGCTAGCTCAGCTTAGCTTAGCTTAGCCTAGCGTAGCATAGCGCAGCGCTGCATTCGCATATCATATCATATCAGAACATAGCCAACCATAGCATAGCGTAACATAGCATAGCATAGCGCAGCGTACCATTCCATACCATACCATACCATAGCATAGCATAGCATAGCATATCACATCATAGCATCGCATATGATAGCTTCGCACAGCACAGCGCAGCATGGCATATCATAGCTTAGGCATAGCTTAGCTTCGCAAATCATAGCATAGCATAGCGCAGCATGGCGTATCATAGCATAGCATAGCGCAGCATAGCATGGCATAGCATAGCATAGCATAGCAACTAAGGCTGCTTGCCTAGGGGCTCCAACTTCTAGGACGGGTCGCGCTGGGGTATATGCGTTTCCCCCCCCCCTCTCTCTCTCTCTCTCTCTCTCTCTCTCTCTCTCTCTCTCTCTCTCTCTCTTTCTGCCTCTCGCTCACTCTCCTCCCGGGCGCGCCGGCGGCCGCTGGTGGGCATGGAGATGGAGTCGCTCAGGCCGCTCAGGCCGCTCAGGCCCCCGGCGCCGTTGTTGCAGCTCTTGCCCAGCCTCCCCCTTTGAGCGAGAGTGAGCAACTGAGACTGGCTCTCGTTCGCATCGCGGAGCTCGAGGCTACTGTGAGCAAGCAGGCCAGCAAGATTGAGTCGTTGACATCGCAGAGAAAGGATTGGCATCAGAAGTACTCTCGCCTGAGTCGCCAACGAGAGAAGCAACTAAAAGCAACGCAAGCATTAGAGGAGAAAGCGTCGGAGGCTGCGAAGGTGTCTGAGTTTAGGCGTGGCAAGCAAGGTCGTTACTTCAGCGCCAACGGCGGGCTCCAGCTTGCAGCAAGATCCATCGTGAGCAACTCGGCATCAGATGGTCTTGGCCTCGCACTCGGGATGGACGTGGCAAGCCAGACGGTTTCCCAGTGGATCTTCGAATTCAGGGCGACTCGGATTTTGGCGCACCGCGACTTCCTCGTGGGCGGCTTCAGAGCTGCCCACGGCTTGCGCGTGTGAGGCAGCGCTCGCTGGGTCGAGCAGCGGGGCGCCCACGGGCAGGGCGAGCGGGGGCGGCGCCTCGCCTTGCACGTCATGCGAGGCGACGCCGCCAATGCTGAGGTGGACGGCCGCCAAAACCAATGGGATGGATGGGGCAGGGGGGGGTAGGGCAGGGCAGGGGTCGCATCAGGCAGGCAGGAGGTAGGGGACAAGGTGGGGCAGGGCAGAGCGGGCAGAGCGAGCACTTCCCGCTCACGCCCTGCTGCCGCCAAAGGTGTGGCAGAAACGTAAGCTCCACTTGACAGAGGTGGAAACATCGTTCGTCAGCGCGCCCGTGTACCACTCCACCTCTTACCACCAATTCCGCTCGTGCGTCCGCTCTCGCAAGATATTGGGCGAGCTCCAGGCGGTGCCGGAGACTGGCGGCCACGGCATTGACGCGTTGGCCATGGTTCGGAACAAATTTGCTGCAGTGGGTTTGGACACCAGGCCGTCTTCGCCCATTGCGGCGTTGGCTTGGTGCCCGCCAGGCGACGGGCGTCTCCCCCTGACCGACGAGGCCGTCGCCGAGCCAGACCACAGCGTTGAGCAGGCCGCGCGGGGCACGGTTGCAATGTCATTGTCGCCCTGCGCCCCTGGGAGCGCAGCGCAGAGGGGTAATGTCATCCCCCCCCCCCCCCCCCCCATGCGCTCTCAAACTGTTCCACTGTGCGTAGTTGTCTTGAATTGCGGTTGTCGTTCCACATATATATATATAAATACATATATACACATGTGCATGCTCTATCACTATATATATATTATATATATATATATATATATATATATATATGTATGTCGAATCGGCTCGAAAATGCAGCCGTCGCCGTTGTAGGGCTCCTTGAACGCGCACTCGGGTTGTAAGTTCGTCGATCGGACCGCCCGGGCGCGGTCAGGGCAACGACGGGGGAGGGGGGGGGGGGGGCGAGTCCGCAGGCGACAAGGGGGGTGGGGGGGTGGGGGGGCGCACAACGAAGTAGCAGGGATAGCGGCGAGGCGAGATCGAGGAGAGGGGAAGGGTGCGGTTTGCCTACGGAGGGGGAGGTGGAGGCGCGCGACAATCAGGAGGAGGGCGACGAAGACGAGGTCGGGGTCGCCGCTTGCACCGCCCCCCCGCCCCGTTGGCGCCCGCAGGCTGCCCCTGGCGGTGCCGGGCATGCTGGCGACGCCTGGCTGGGCGCCGCTGACGACGATGCTGGCCGTGACGGGGGCGGGGGCAGGGGCTCGCCTGCCCAGAGCAGGCTACTGCAGATCTGGGCAGCCTGCGCGGATGCTGGGAGCGACGAGGTCAAGGCGCGCGCCTGGATGCATGCCAAGTTAGCCCAATGTCCAACTACATTTGTATTTGAGGACAATTGTATAGCACATCAATACCAGCTGATCGTGAAAGCCGAATTGAATTGGATGGATTCATTTTTGAAGGCAGCGGGGGTGGAGGACTACTACCATTGGGCAAGCGTGACCAAAATCATGCACATATGGAGGGCGCATGCAGTACCAATCATGAATGTTTGGACGGCGCTGCATGGATTAAAAGCAGCAGTCCGCTCTGGATGCAGCCGAGTCCCGCCAAAGCCTATTACAGGGAGGTGTGTGCGTGTGTGTGTGTGTGTGGGGGGGGGGGGGGGGGGGGGGGGGGGGGGGGGGGGGGGGGGGGGGGGGGGGGGCGTTCGGGATTGCGAGCGCTTCCTTCTGAATGCTACAGAGACCGAGCTTCGTCAGGTGTTCGCGGCTGTCTTGGGCGTGGCTCGCCCAGGAGATAATCTAGAGGACCCATGGGGTCGTTGGGAAGTCGGGGTTGACCGAATTGGGCGCAGAGAGCAGGGGGGCCTACGCTGAGAGAATGGGCCGTTGGGCAGAGGAGAGCTTGAAAGCCATCAGAGACTCCAGATTCTGGTTGGCCGTCACGGTTTCACGACGGCTGAGGGACCCATTCGACCATTTACTACATTTTGTGCAGACCGTGAGACCAAGGGTGCAGGGGGTCGACTGCCCGCTGCGCAGGCTACTTCCACCCCGGCGAGCCCCCCATCACCGCCGCGCCCCGCCCCGCGGACCAGAGAAGGGGGCAACCAAAGCCAATGCGAGGAGGGGTGGGGGGGAGAGGGAGGAGGGGGAGGGGGGTGGCGGAGGAGGCGGGCCAGTGCCAGGGTGGAAGTCGGCGGAGCTTGGGCCCAGGGGGGGCTGCAAAGCATAGCGCGGCTCATTTTCGGGGATGCGAAGAGGATTGGGAAGGAGATAGATCGCCTGATTGACCCAGCCTCCTGGACCGACCTCATCTCGACGCTCGCCCCCGACCTCGCACAGATTGTCTCCAAGTCTGCCCGGCAGGGCGCTATGATGATTGCAGGTGCGTACGACTTCCGGATCAATAGTCTATGCTACAAGTTCCCGCTCAAATTGCTGAAACTCGTCGAGTCTCCCCCGACAGTGGTATGCGAGGAGAGGATGCGCATAGCAGCGGAGCTCATGCACGCAGACGGGAACACCTTGAACATGACAGCATATCGCATGAGAGCGATCGTCCAATCAGAGCTCCAGGCATCCGCTTCGCGCCTGCACTTCTTGCTGTTGCTCAGCCCCCCCTCTCTGCTCCTGTTCTTCAATTCCTCCTGCTCCTTGCCATCTCTTCATCAACTCCTCCTGCTCCTCTGCTCCTCCTCCTCCTCCCCTGCCGCCGCGCCCGTCGGCCCTCTCTGGCTGCTTGCCGCGGCGGGCGGCGCAGTGCACTGGTGCCCTTAGCATGGTCGTCCACGGCCCTTTCAGATTGCTGGCTGAGAGGTGGCGCGGCGATGCCCAGGATATCGAGGGCGTCCGCAGTATTCTACAGGCGGGGCGGGCGGGCGGGGGCCTCGCGGCTTGCGCAGTCAGCGCGAGCGATGCGCACGCGTGCGAGTCACCGCCTGTCTGCCTTTCCCCAATGCCCCAATGCGCTCTGCAACTGGGGGGGGGGGGGGGGAGGTGCAGTGCAGAAGGGCTCCTCGCATAAACTTGGGCATGCTGTATGCGAAGGTGAGCTTGCGGAAAGAAATCGGGCTTGGCAGTCGAGCGACTAGGCGCTTGAAGTTCCCCCGCGTCTCAGCGCAGCTTCAGTCGATGATCAGCGAGTCGACGTCGAAGCTCGCTTTCGCGAGCGGCGTGCTTGGCGCCAGTGGCCGCTGGGCGCCCCCCGCAGTCAGGGGGCGGGCTGCAGCAGAGACCCAGATTGCGCCAGACAGGCCAATTCGGCCATTCGAGCCAGAGGCAAAAGACGACTGGGTCAAGTCCTACAACATGGTGTGGTACCGCGCTGCCCAGAGACTCGGCTCGCTTCAAGCCTCCATAGTGGTGTGTGCGGGCGAGGGTGATGATGGCGATCATCTTACTGGGTGGGTATGCGAGTATGCACATTCTTACGTCTGCAGCCTCGCCAAGGTCACTATCACGCCAGATGTAGACAACACATGTGCCACGTTGGTCTTCGCTGACCCTCCAGTCCGGGAACGTTCACACGACTTGATCAAGCGGTATTATCAAGAGCTACAAGATGACCCTGCAGATCGTATTTTCACGATGGTGGGCCTGGCTGACGCATCGGCTGTGGGCCCCGGCATGTCGCCCATGCCAATGCGCCTGCAGCTCAAGGACCTGGAAGACGCTATTTATATGACGCGCGCTCTTGCACCCGTTGTCGGGGGGGGGGGGGGGGGGCAAGGAAAAGGAGAAAACTTGAACGTGCCATCGCAGATGCCCCCAAGGTCGGGGTCATCGAGGATGTTGCCCCAGAAGATGTCGATCCAGATGCCGATCCAGCTGGGGCCGATGAGGCCGGCGACGCGGCCGACGCAGTTGACCTGGCAAAGTCATGGGGCGCTATTTCCGACGCTGCTTTCACGGCCTTGGTGGGCGCATCGTTTCAGAAGCTGTTCCCCGAAGCTGAAGACGTGGGCGGCGGCGATCGTGTGGGCCCAGCTGCAGAACTGCAGCGCCTTCATGGCTTAGGCGTCGCCAAGGCGCTGGCGGATGCCGCGCCTGCTGGGGGCGCGGATGCTGGCGGCGGTGGCGAACCCGCCTCTCTCGCGCCCATAGGTGGCACCGACGCTCCGCCAGGATCCCCGCGGCCAGAGGACTGCTCAACTGCTCTCCCTCCCCCTCCTACTCCCCTTCCTCCTCCTCCTCCTCCTCCTCCTCCTTCTCCTCCTCCTCCTCCTCCTCCTCCTCCTCCTCGTCCTCTCCCCATCCTCATCTTCCTGGCCCTCCCCCTTCCCGTCGGCGTCCTCGCCGGGGGGCAGGGGCCGCGCCGCCGCCGACACCCGCTGGGATTCAGGGCCAGCTGGCGCGGGGGATTGGGGGCGCGGGCGCGCGCGATGTCCCGCGATAGCGGCCGACGCGATATGCGCCGCCAACACCTCTGACCACCCTCTGCCTGCGTCCTCCAGGTGGTGGTGGTGGTGCATTTCCTTCCCCCTACCCGCCCAGCCAGGGGGGCATGGGCGCCGGGGTCGGCGAGCTTGGCGAGCTCGTCGACTTCGATGCCCCGTGGGGGGCGCGGCAGAATGGCAGGCGCTTGTGCGCTGATTGGTGGCCAGATTGCAATGCTGGCATCATTGCGCCCGCTGGGGCGTTAACAGGATATCGCATCTATCGAGAGCGGGCCATTGCTATGCAGGGTGTGGCGCTGGAGCTGGATCCAATCTGTCGATTCTGGAGCATGCCGAACGCGGGGCCGGGGAAGCGTGGGCGGGGGGAGTGCGGCGCGCACGCTGGACAGCACCGCCGTCTGGCCGCGGGTAGAAGCCATCGGGCGCACGTTCGCTGGGGCGCAAGGAGGCGCGTGCAGGAGGGGGCAGGTTTGGGGGGGGGATGAGGAGGAGGGGCCTAGGGCGACGGGAGTGGGGGCGCGTCGGCGAGGGGGGGGGGGGGGGGGCGGACCAGGCCGCGTCAGCGGAACCAGAGTGCACTAGCATCTGCAATCGCCGCAGCAGGAGGGGATGGGCAGGTGACTTGGGCGGCGGCGACGACGTGAAGCACGCGGGCCTGGTGAACTGGCAGGACTCAGCGTCTGCGCATGGACAGTGCGTTCGATCTGAGAACCAGAGGGTTGTGTTCTCTGTTGCGAGCCGGAAGGCCCCAGATGGGCCCAAACCCATTGCAAGCATTTTTTGTTTTTCCTTTCCTTCTCTCTCTCTCTCTCTCTCTCTCTCTCTCTCTCTCTCTCTCTCTCTCTCTCCTCTCTCTCTCTCTCTCTATCTCTCTCTCTCTCTCTCCTCTCTCTCTCACTCTCTCTCTATCTCTCTCTCTCTCTTTTCCTTCCTCTCTTCTCTCTTTTTTCTCTCCTCTCTCTCTCTCTCTCTCTCTCTCTCTCTCTCTCTCTCTCTTTCTCTCTCTTTCTCTTTCTCTTTTTTTCCCAATCCTCCTTGGTTGGGTATTCGTTTTGAATAGAGCAGTATGGTCGCGTCTCTCCTCCTGCCTCCCGCCTCTTCCTGTCTTGCCTGCGGGGGGCTGCGATCTGTGAAACTGTCGCCACTTTCGAGGCCTGCTGGGGGGCCCAGCACAGTGAGGGCCACGGGCGGACCCAAATTAGACCTCGCCATCCCTGGGGGGCTGCGATCTGTGAAACTGTCGCCATTTTCGAGGCCTGCTGGGGGGCCCAGCACAGTGAGGGCCACGGCGGACCCAAATTAGACCTCGCCATCCCTGGGGGGCTGCGATCTGTGAAACTGTCGCCACTTTCGAGGCCTGCTGGGGGGCCCAGCACAGTGAGGGCCACGGGCGGATTCAAATTAGACCTCGCCATCCCTGGGGGGCTGCGATCTGTGAAACTGTCGCCATTTCGAGGCCTGCTGGGGGGCCCAGCACAGTGAGGGCCACGGGCGGATTCAAATTAGACCTCGCCATCCCTGGGGGGCTGCGATCTGTGAAACTGTCGCCATTTTCGAGGCCTGCTGGGGGGCCCAGCACAGTGAGGGCCACGGCGATTCAAATTAGACCTCGCCATCCCTGGGGGGCTGCGATCTGTGAAACTGTCGCCATTTCGAGGCCTGCTGGGGGGCCCAGCACAGTGAGGGCCACCGCGGATTCAAATTAGACCTCGCCATCCCTGGGGGGCTGCGATCTGTGAAACTGTCGCTTTCGAGGCGCTGGGGGGCCCAGCACAGTCTGTTCAAATTAGACCTCGCCATCCCGGGGGCTGCGATCTGTGAAACTGTCGCCATTTCGAGGCCTGCTGGGGGGCCCAGCACAGTGAGGGCCACGGGCAGATTCAAGTTAGATCTCGCCATCGCTGGGGGGCTGCGATCTGTGAAACTGTCGCCACTTTCGAGGCCTGCTGGGGGGCCCAGCACAGTGAGGGCCACGCGCGGACCCAAATTAGACCTCGCCACCCCTGGGGGGCTGCGATCTGTGAAACTGTCGCCATTTCGAGGCCTGCTGGGGGGTCCTGCATAGGCCCGGATTCAAATTAGACCTCGCCATCCCTGGGGGGCTGCGATCTGTGAAACTGTCGCCACTTTCGAGGCCTGCTGGGGGGCCCAGCACAGTGACGCCACGGGCGGACCCAAATTAGACCTCGCCATCCCTGGGGGGCGGCGATCTGTGAAACTGTCGCCATTTTCGAGGCCTGCTGGGGGGCCCAGCACAGTGACGCCACGGGCGGACCCAAATTAGACCTCGCCATCCCTGGGGGGCTGCGATCTGAGATCCCCGCTTTCGAAGTGGCTAGGGTTGCTCAGGGATTGCAACTAATCAGCTTTATCTAGTCCTTGTCCTGAAGCCAGTTTCCTGCGAGTCTCCCGAATTCCGTCTGCAGACATATGTAGCCCTTGCTCCGTCATCGCCCCCCTTATAAAGTGTCCTAAACTATTTGCGCCCCGCGTTTGCGCAGGGGTTGGGTACGTCGCCAGGGTAATGTTTCTCCCAGCCCTCCTTGGTTGGGTATTCGTTTTGAATAGAGCAGTGTGGTCGCGTCCCATCTCCCGCCTCCCGCCCCCCGCCTCTTCCTGTCTTGCCTGCGGGGGGCTGCGATCTGTGAAACTGTCGCCACTTTCGAGGCCTGCTGGGGGGCCCAGCGCAGTGAGGGCCACGGGCAGACCCAAATTAGACCTCGCCATCCCAGGGGGGCCGCGATCTGCGAAACTGTCGCCATTTTCGAGGCCTGCTGGGGGGCCCAGCACAGTGAGGGCCACGGGCGGATCCAAATTAGACTCGCCGTCGTGGGGGGCTGCGATCCTGCGAAACTGCGCCATTTCCGGGCCTGCTGGGGGCCCCAGCACAGTGAGGGCCACGGCGGACCCAAATTAGACCTCGCATCCCTGGGGGCTGCGATCTGTGAAACTGTCGCCACTTTTCGAGGCCTGTGGGGGGCCCAGCACAGTGAGGGCCACGCGCGAACCCAAATTAGACCTCGCCATCCCTGGGGGGCTGCGATCTGTGAAACTGTCGCCACTTTCGAGGCCTGCTGGGGGGCCCAGCACAGTGAGGGCCACGCGCGGATTCAAATTAGACCTCGCCATCCCTGGGGGGCTGCGATCTGCGAAACTGTCGCCACTTTCGAGGCCTGCTGGGGGGCCCAGCACAGAGGGCCACGCGCGGATTCAAATTAGACCTCGCCATCCCTGGGGGGCTGCGATCTGCGAAACTGTCGCCATTTTCGAGGCCGGCCTGCTGGGGGGCCCAGCACAGTGAGGGCCACGCGCGGATTCAAATTAGACCTCGCCATCCCTGGGGGGCTGCGATCTGCGAAACTGTCGCCATTTCGAGGCCTGCTGGGGGGCCCAGCACAGTGAGGGCCACGCGCGGATTCAAATTAGACCTCGCCATCCCTGGGGGGGCTGCGATCTGCGAAACTGCGCCATTTTCGAGGCCTGCTGGGGGGGCCAGCACAGTGAGGGCCACGGCAGATTCAAATTAGACCTCGCCATCCCTGGGGGGCTGCGATCTGCGAAACTGTCGCCATTTTCGAGGCCTGCTGGGGGGCCCAGCACAGTGAGGGCCACGCGCGGATTCAGATTAGACCTCGCCATCCCTGGGGGGCTGCGATCTGCGAAACTGCCGCCATTTTCGAGGCCTGCTGGGGGGCCCAGCACAGTGAGGGCCACGGGCAGATTCAAATGAGACCTCTCCATCCCTGCGGGGTTGCGATCTGTGAACCTGTCGCCACTTTCGAGGCCTGCTGTGATCCCGTTTTCGAAGTGGCTAGGAGTGCTCAGGAATTGTAAATCATCAGCTTTATCAAGCCCTTTTCCTGGCTAGCCAGTGTCCTGCGAGTCTCCCGAATTCCGTCTGCAGACGTATGTAACCCTCGCTCCGTCAGCGCCCCCTTATAAAGTGTCCTAAACTATTTGCGCCCCGCTTTTGCGCAGGGGTTGGGTACTTCGCCAGTTTTTTTTTTTTTTTTTTTTTCTCTCTCTCTCTCTCTCTCTCTCTCTCTCTCTCTCTCTCTCTCTCTCTCTCTCTCTCTCTCTCTCTGCGACAGTTTCACAGATCGCAGCCCCCCAGGGATGGCGAGGTTTAATTTGTGCCCGCCCGTGGCCCTCACTGCGCTGGGCCCCCCAGCAGGCCTCGAAAATGGCGAGAGTTTCGCAGGTCGCAGCCCCCCAGGGATGGCGAGGTCTAATTTGGGTCCGCCCGTGGCCCTCACTGTGCTGGGCCCCCCAGCAGGCCTCGAAAGTGGCGACAGTTTCACAGATCGCAGCCCCCCGCAGGCAAGACAGGAAGAGGCGGGGGGCGGGAGAAGGGACGCGACCACACTGCTCTATTCAAAACGAATACCCAACCAAGGAGGGCTGGGAGAAAAATTACCCTGGCGACGTACCCAGCCCCTGCGCAAAAGCGGGGCGCAAATAGTTTAGGATACTTTATAAGGGGGCGATGACGGAGCGAGGGTTACATATGTCTGCAGACGGAATTCGGGAGACTCGCAGGACACTGGCTACAGGAAAAGGGCTTGATAAAGCGTATGATTACAGTTCCTGAGCACTCCTAGCCAACTATGTACTTCGAAAAACGGGGGATCACAAGCAGGCCTCGAAAGTGGCGACAGGTTCACAGAGCGCCGCCCC